ACAACCAGTTCGGGTTCATGTTGGGTCGTTCAACCACAGAAGCTATACATCTTGTTAGGAGGTTGGTGGAGGTGTACAGGGAGAGAAAGAAGGATCTGCACATGGTGTTTATTGACCTAGAGAAAGCGTATGACAAGGTTCCTAGAGAAGTTCTCTGGAGATGCTTGGAGGCAAAGAGTGTGTCAGATCCCTATATTATGGCGATTAGGGACATGTATGATGGGGCTATGACTCGGGTTAGGACGGTAGGAGGCGACTCTGAGCATTTTCCGGTTGAAATAGGGTTACACCAAGGCTTTGCGCTCAGTCCGTTCTTATTCGCCCTGGTGATGGATTCGTTAACAAACCATATCCAAGGGGAGGTGTCATGGTGCATGCTATTTGCTGATGACATAGTTCTGATCGATGAGTCACGAACCGGTATTAACGAGAGATTGGAAGATTGGAGACAGACTCTTGAGTCGAAAGGTTTCAAGCTGAGCAGAACAAAGACAAAATACTTGGAGTGTATTTTCAGCACTGAGCCGGGGGAAGTGGGCGTGGATATGAGGCTTGAATCACAGGTTATCCCAAGTAAAGACAACTTCAAGTACCTTGGTCGGTTATCCATGGGAGAGGGGAGATCGATGAAGATGTCGCACACCGTATTGGGGTAGGATGGATGAAGTGGAGGTTAGCATCTGGAGTTTTGCATTATAAGTGCCGACGATACTCAAAGACAAGTTCTATAAAGCGGTGGTTAGACCGGCTATGATGTATGGGGCTGAGTGATGGCCTGTTAAGAACTCACATATCCAAAAGATGAAAGTAGCAGAAATAAGGATGTTGAGGTGGATGTGAGGGCACACTAGGATAGACAAGATTAGAAATGATAATATTCGGGAGAAGGTGCACGTGGCTCCCATTGATGACAAGATGCGGGAAGCGCGACTCAGATGGTTCGGGCATGTAATGAGGAGAAGCCCAGATGCTCCAGTAAGGAGGTGTGAGTGACTAGTTGTGGAGGGCACGAGAAGAGGTAGAGGGAGGCCTAAGAAGTATTGGGGATAAGTGATCAGGCAGGATATGACAAAACTTCAGATTTCCGAGGACATGACACATGACACTTGATAGGAAGTTGTGGAGGTCGAGTATTATGGTTCTAGGATAGTTGAGTCTCGCGTTACTTTGTACCGTTGTGAGCCTAGTCTGGTAAGGTTTTAGTCTAAAATAACTAGGGGCATTTCCATGTCTTAATACTTTCTCTTTTTGGTGCAAGATCTATTTACTAGCCATCATTTCTGCCTTGTATTTTTCTTCTGCAATTTATGTTCCTATTTTTCCTATGATCTTTGTAGTGAAACTAATATTCTCTCTTTTTGTTTTTCTTATTATCTTGAGCCGAGGGTCTTTCGGAAACAGCCTCTCTACGCCTTCGGGGTAGGGGTAAGGTCTGCGTACGTACTACGCTCCCTAGACCCCACTTTTGGGATTTTACTGGGTTGTTGTTGGTCTCAAACATATTAGTTTCCTGATACGACACAACTTCTTATGCTTACAGTTAAATTGACGACTTCGCACGGAAGAGTTGCATCAACATTGACTCCCATAAGATAAAGAATAATCTCAAAAGTTCACGTTCCATTGCAGTTACAACTCCTAATAATAAGGAGATAGCACGACAGCAGTTACAATCTTCTTTTAGTACCGTTTCAAGCCAAATCCTTCATGTCTTCACTTGCCGTTTCAACTAAAGGCATAAGTTTTCAATTCCAAATGCCCCACGTTACAATTACAATGGTAATCAAGGCAGAGAAAAAATCAACAACAGAGAAAAAATTTACAATGAAGACGCTCTGAAGCTAAGCTTTCTTTTCCAACTTTTCTATCTTGAGTCTTCTATAGTTATATCGATTTTTCCTGTTTTCATCATAATTGTTTTTTCACATAAACGTCTTATTCCCTATTGCTTGTAATTTGTGCTTTTATTTTATCTTCATAGTAATTGTAACAGTTGCTTTGGAAAGTGTAAATATTATACGTTCCATTCTAAGTTACTTGGAGACTACAAAGTGAATTTCACAGAATTTTTTTATTGCAACTTGGTTAGTCATTGGTTGCTTAATCCAAAATCTGAATGTGCTACATTTTTGTTTGGATAGCATGTCGTGCTTAGAAGAGAACTTGGAGCTAAAAGACAAGTAAATTAAGGTTGGATATTGTTGATTTGCGGCAGTAAGAATATTCACTAATTTTGCAAATTTCTTATGATTTTCATCTCTCAAATCCCTCTTTTCCTTTACTTATCTTCTTCTTTTTGTTTGGTCGTGACTATAAGAAAGCTTCGAGTATCCAAATATGGAAGTGTAAATTATGTTTTACTATTGAAGTCTTCATCTTTCTTTGTTTGGTCGTGACTATAAGAAACTGACAAGTTCCAAATGTGGAATTGTAAATTATATTTTACTATTGAATCTTCATCTTTCTTATCTCTTTTTTTTTTCTTTTTAACTGTTCCTTCTCTTTTCACATTTTCTTTTGTGTTTTACTCTATTTCTTCTTCTTTGTTTCTTTATGTAGAGTAAAATACTGGAGAAAACTATTCTAATTTTATACACATGAAATATTTTTAAAAGGCAAAATGAATTTTATAATATTTACAGTAATGCCTATAAAAGATAAAGTTTCAACTTAATATTCCAGATGATCATTGAGCAGGTTTGGTGTGCGTGTATGTATATATATATATATGGAGGGGATCCTTTTAAACCTTATGACAAAAGTTAATAAAAATTATGATGGAAATTCGAATTTGTATAACAAAAGAAAATTTTGAATTTAAATAAAGCATATATTCTTTGCAATAGATGTGAAAGTGTTTAGCTTCAATTTCAAATTATAACTATTTCTAACAGAGTGGATTAGACTGAAGTCTTCTTCTAATCTTATATTTGATTGTACCATTTTTATTGTGCGTAACAAAACTTATAAAGTCTTCTTCTCTATTTTTCTGCAGCCTGGTACCTATCTAGACCAGAAAGAAAAGTACATCTTATATATTGAATTTGTTAACAAAGAACTTATTGTGTTTTCAATGGTTGGCCTTCAAGATCTATTTCATCCGAGAATTAGAATATGGTCAATCATCTAAGATTGTAATTTTTTTTTTTATAAATACTTTCCTCACTAGCTGTTTTCTAATGAGTACATATGTTTCCTTATGACTTGAATGTATGAATATTCAGTACATTTACATGTTCATAAAATAATAACATTTACATGCTCCTTAATCTACTGTATTTCTCAAGTAATATTTTTTATGAAAAATTATATTTAATATTTTACACGTAACATGCGGGTACAAATACAAGTTAATATTTGAAAAGCAAAGAAAAGAAAAGAGAAAGTTAGGCAAAATTTGGCATTAATTGAAACGAAGCAGTAGTAGCAGGCGAGGCGAGGCGAGCAATTCTTCTCGCGTTAAGGCTCGCGACGCTCAGCCTAGTGCGAGGTGCTCCGCGCGGGTCCAAATTCCAAGCCTATTTTGTCTTCTACTTTTTTTTTTGGTTTTGGATTTTGTTATTTCGCCTAGATCTTTTATCCTACACCTATGAATAGTCCTTAAATACAATTTTTAAAAAAAATTTAGAGGAGGGTAGAGCACGGAGCAGCCGTGGAGGCCGGAATTCATCAGATTCCATCTTTCTTCCATCAAACTTAGTAATCTTTACTTTTTCTTGATGATTTGTTATTTTGCTACCATGTCTATGTGGAGCTACAATTCACGTTCTAGGGTTGTGGTTGTAATGAATATTGAAGTTTATTAATTATATTACCGTTAATTCGAGTTATCATCTTTGATTGTTTCTCTAATTCTGTGCATAATTGCTTAATTGTTTGGTCAGTGAGTTCTGTTTACTATCTATGCTATGCTTGGAAAAGCCTTGTTTAGATTAGAGTAGAATTACAGAGAGCTTGTTTCTGAACCCGTGGCCCAGGGAAAGATTTCGCGGTTAACATAGGAATATATCTACTAGTCTTGCTTAGTTGAATATCGTATTATATTCGTTCATGATATTACTCAATACCATAGGAATATAGGGTTGGTGTATTATGAATAGACGAATAGTATTTTGAGAACATGATATTTATATAAACGATTCAGTCAACTAGCAATCATACATAATTTGGATTAACAGGTGTAGTTACGAACTCAATAGGATTGATAAACCGACCACAACCCTGGAACCTATATCTCCCTTGGTTACGTGTTTAATTTTTGCAATAGTAGATTAATAGAAAAACATCACTCTTGATTATCTTGGACAATTAATTGATTTTAGTTTTCTTAGTTAACGGTTAATTTAAGTATCTGTGGGTTCGACATCCGACTTTCGAGTCACTTTATTACTTGACGACTGCGTATACTTACGCGTGCGTTTGGTCCCAACAAAATATTGTTTCAACCAGCCCGCACGCGCCCCGCATCGCATAACTTTAAACCCACCCCCCCGCATAGCCTTGACCCGTACCGCCTTGCACCCGTCTCGCCCTTTTTGCCATCCCTGCTGTTTAGTTAATAGCATTAAATTTGAAAAAATTACTTAAAAGTTTTCCCTAAGGTTTGGATTCATAACACATACCTACTTTGTAATTTCAAATATTACCTAATCTCTTCCTTCTTTCAAGTCTTACGTATTATTTCAAGTTTTGGAGTGAAAAATTATTTTCGCAAAAACAATTTGCTTGAGATAAATTTGCAAACAAGGAGTACAATTTATACTTATTCATATGATATCCTTAATTATCCATTTTCCTCGAATTTTCTCCATTCCTTATAGTAGAAATTTGGATTGTTTTTTTACATTTTCTTTATCAATTTTCACAAACATAAAATAATACGTCTTTTCTTGAAGGAAAAGAAAAATACTGAAAAGGTCAAAAGGGGGGGGGGGGGGGGGGGGGAGAGAAAAATAAAGAAACCCTCCTCTATAAATAGCACCACTATCCTCAGATATAAAGGCAGAACCGTTTCACTTTGTTCCTCGCGCATCCGTTAGAACATCAACAAAGATAAACGTCAATTTCTCCGACTAAATCAAACTATTTTCCAGACTCAGGAAAATCTAGCCACTGTTTCTGCCTTATCTTTCATCGCACATTCAATCCCAGCATCTCAGCAATTAAGAGATCTCCCCAGTTTTCTCTAATCGCATCAGTTGCTGCTGTAACATACAATAATTTATTACCAGCCTAACCAAATTCATAAATTCTAATTATCTACTAATTACTCAAATAACCATATTCTAATTTCCGCTTCAATGGATCCTTCTATCATGAAACTCCTCGAAGAAGACGAGGTAACCTCTTTTTCCCTTTTTTCCAATTTAGCCCTTTTTCCTTTAATAAAGAAATTTTGCAGTATGTATATGTATATTTATTTGTGTTTGAAATGGTGAATTAATGATATGTAATAGGATGAAACAATGCATTCGGGGGCGGATGTGGAGGCATTCACTGCTGCCCTAAATAGGGATATTGGAGGCGCAGATAATTCACAATCTCAGCCATCCGATTCCGATAGCGGTAACATTATCAGCTTTTTGGGATATTACTCACTGTTTATAGTAATCAATTAAATTTTGTCAATTTTTTAATATTGATTCATTATATTGTACACCGCGTTGAATGATTATACTGTGGAAAGGTCAAAAAATGGATCTTTTTAGGTTATATATAAGCTGTTGAATCCCATAGACATAAGAAAAAATTCTATTGAAGTAACAAAGGGGTTCAATAATTGCTACCTTTGAATCCCTTTTTATAAACTCCTGGTTCTGCCACCAATACTAGTCAAAATTGTACCCTGCTTTGCTCCCTTGGGGGCTCGAACCCTTAACCTCATTGTTGTAGGTGGAGGGCCCTTTTGACTAAGGCTATCTGTCCCCAGTTTGGTAAATTCATCTCTGTTTCATATATCAGCAGAATAGGTATTTCAGAGTTGCATAAGAATTTCTGAGCTTAAAGAGTGTTGGTGTGTAGACAATTTTGTGATTGTGGTTGGAACTTTGTCTTGAAAAGCTACTGTACCATTATCATTTACTTTATTTCTCTTGTTTTCAGTAGTGTTCTCTTTCTCCTTAGAAAATAATCTTATTTTTTGCATAACTTTAACAAACAGTACCCTTATCTCAAGGAAGCAGTTATACCTCAAATCAGTTTGCATCATGGCAAACTTCTAACCATGACGAAAATGGCAGTCGTCATAGTCTTCAAGATTCAGAGGCCGTTCAGCAAAAGGATGGAAATATATCTGATATGCAGTTAAAGGGACATGGTACCGATTCTCAGAAACAGCAGCAAAAAAATGATTCCTCACAGGAGATCATTTCCCTTCCTTTGCAGCATATATCTTCCCAGGATACTTATCAAACCACAGAGGTTGAACAGGACACACTTCATTCTTCTAAAGCAGTGAATATACAAAATCCTGAAAAGAATACTCAAAATCCAGAATCTCAACATCTAAACTTACAGGGAGCGAAAAGTCAGCAGTCCATGCAGTCCTTGACAACAGGAACTAGTGGTCTGCCACTTGTGGCAGCAGATGCAAGTAATCAGTCAGAATCGGCGACCGGGTCGAGCAGCCAATCAGCAATCAATGTAGCTAAACAGGGAAAACAAGTGCCTTTTGCCATGCTTTTCCCTCACATACAACCCCAGCTTGATAAGGACAGGGCAATGCAACTCCAGACTCTTTACGTTAAACTCAAAGTAGTTTGCTATAGCTGACTTGTTTTTGCATTATTTTGCCTTTTCTGTTATAGTAGTTTTGCTAACAAAAGGAATTTGTGTTCAGAAAAATGAAATTTCTAAGGAAGGTTTTGTAAGACACATGAGAAGTATAATTGGTGACCAAATGCTCAAAATGGCTGTATATAAATTTCAATCTCAGGTAGATGAAGCAGCATCTTTTCAGTTGTTACATAAAAAAAATGAAATTTCTCCATCTTTGTGTATTAACTCTATGTCAAAATTTAATTCAGGCATCTAGAAACTCACCGAGTGTTCCCGGTCAATTTCCTCAGTCTGCGGCTTCTCAGCAGCAACATTCGCAAATGCCAACAGATGGTACCTTGTTCTTTGAATCTCTTTGGTTCATTCTAGTCAGGTCCCAGTTTATTGCTGACCTTACTTCTCTTCTGCTGCTCCTATATGAATATGGACAGATTCTAGTAATATGGCAATTGAGAGTAATGCTCAAAAGTTGCGCGAGGTGGAAAATCAGGCAGATTTGCGTGGAGCCCAAGGAAACCAGATGCCTTCTTCTAGTTTGATTGCTGTAAAACAAGAAAGGGATCACTCACCATTCCCAATACAGGGACTTAATAGGCAACAACAACAGCATTTGCACTTCTCACAGGCATCATTTCCCACATTTCCAAGTGCAGGGAACAATTATAGTGCATATTCTGCATCTAATCTCAACTCTTCAACAACACAACCGCTAAAGCAGCAATCTGATGATGCACAAATGAGACAATTTTCAGCTCAACAGAACAGAAATGCAACTCAGTTAGGAGTGCCAACGCAGGCCGTGGGAATGATGAGCGCCCCTAAGTTTGAAAAGCAAAACACTTTTGGCGAAGCCAAAAGATTACCTTGTGGGAGTCTTAATATTCCAACTACTTCAAGAACCCAGCAGCCTTCAGTTCAATGGCAACAGTCTGCCAATAAAGAGCAGAGAAGTATTCTTTCATCACCAATGACCAATCTAAAGTCTGAACCAATTGATCATTTCCATGACCAGCTACAAAGATCCCAGTTGTCGCCCTTCTCCTCTGTTCAAGTGGAGCAAGGAAATTCCACTTCAGAAAGTTCAAAGGATGAATCTATTGAACAGATCTCCAGAATTGGTTTATCAACCACTAGCATGAAACCTTCAAATTTAGCCTCGTCTTCCATGTCATCTCAAATGGATACTAGCACATTGGTAATTTTCTTGGTTTGCATCCTAACTTGATTTATTGATTTATCAAGTGAGGATATATTACAGATTTTAGAAGTATATTTACATGCTTCTTATATATACAGTCAAACCTCTCTATAACAGCCTCGTTTGTTCCGAGATTTTTTGGCGGCTATAGTGAAGTGTTGTTATAGAGGACACATATTATAACATAACATAATGATCAGTTACGAGAAATAATTGGCTTTTATAGTGAATGAAGGTGTTGGTTTATGTTTAGTCAACAATGGCATGCCAATTGGAAGAGTTGGTGGAAAGAGTTGGTGTGGATGCTAGGAGGAAGCTTCCTCCTTTGATGTCACCCATGACATCAAGAGGAGGTAGTTTGATGTCACCAATGACATCAAGAGGTCTTTACCTCTATAAATAGATGCACTCCTTCATTTGTAGAAATCATCCCAAAAATAATACAACACATTGTAGTGAGTAGAGAGTTAAGAGAGAAATTCTCTTACGTGTAATTGGGAACTCTCCCCTTCCTTTGTTAATATTAAAAAGGCAACTGTTCTCTGGTGGACGTAGGATTATTTTGATCCGAACCACGTTAAATCTTGTGTTCTTTCTTTTACGTTTCCGCTAACAGTGAATGGCTGTCAAGTGGATATTGAGATATCTCAAAGGAGCTTCTGGTGTTGGTCTGACCTTTCGAAAAAGTGGTGGAGGTATTTCAATTCTCGGTTATGTAGATTCTGACTATGCAGGAGATCTTAACTGAAGAAGGTCCACAACTGGATACATCTTTACCCTCGTTGGCAGTACCGTTAGTTGGAAGTCGACTCTGCAGTCGATTGCNTCGATTGTCGCTTTGTCTACGACAGAAGCAGAATACATGGCAGCAGCGGAGGCGGTAAAGGAAGCTATCTGGTTGAAAAGTTTAGTAGCGGAATTGAGTTTGGTTCAGCTGGAATCAACTCTTAGATGTGATAGTCAGAGTGCTATTCATCTAATGAAAAATCAGAGATTTCATGAGCGCACTAAACACATTGATGTCAGATTTCATTTTATTCGAGATGTTGTTGAAGAGGGAACAATCAAGGTCGTGAAGGTTATCACAGACGATAATGCTGCAGACATGTTGACCAAGATAGTCCCGCTCGCTAAGTTTGCACACTGCAAGGACTTGGCGGGGGTGTGCATCAACTGATGCAACTCCGAAGAGAACAGTTGCTAGGTGGAGGTGGTATGTTCAACAATGGTTTGATTCTTCTTGTTTCTTACAACGGGGTTGCCCAGTAAGCTTAGAAGTTTTGGCCAGAGTTGTTCACACGCTCGAAACGCAAACCAAGGTGGAGATTGAAAATGTTGGTTTATGTTTAGTTAACAATGGCATACTGAAAATGTTGGTTTATGTTTAGTCAACAATGGCATGCCAATTGGAAGAGTTGGTGGAAAGAGTTGGTGTGGATGCTAGGAGGAAGCTTCCTCCTTTGATGTCACCCATGACATCAAGAGGAGGTAGTTTGATGTCACCAATGACATCAAGAGGAGGTCTTTACCTCTATAAATAGATGCACTCCTTCACTTGTAGAAATCATCCCAAAATAATACAATACATTGTAGTGAGTAGAGAGTTAAGAGAGAAATTCTCTTAAGTGTAATTGGGAAATCTCCCCTTCCTTTGTTAATATTAAAAGGGCAATTGTTCTCTGGTGGACGTAGGATTATTTTGATCCGAACCACGTTAAATCTTGTGTTCTTTCTTTTACGTTTCCGCTAACAATTGGTATCAGAGCGACAGGATTCTTTAACGATCCAAGGAGAAAGAACAAGCAAATATGAGTTCCATGAAGTTTGAAATTGATAGATTCAATGGACGCAACAACTTCAATATCTGGAAGATCCAGATGATGGCGTTACTGCGGAGGGAAGGTTCAATCCATGCTATTGACGGAAAGTATCCTACGGATATATCAGCTCCCGACAAGGAGAAGATTGAAGGGGATGCATTGAGTGCAATCCAACTATCCCTTGCACCTAACGTGCTTTGTGAAGTGAGTACGGGTACCGAAGAGACGGCCAAACAGTTATGGGAAAAGCTAGAAGGGCTATACCAAGACCGATCAGTGACAACAAGGATGTTGTTACAACGGCGTCTTCACACATTTAAGATGGGGTCAGGTACTTCGTTACAAGATCATTTAGATGCGTTCAATAAACTTGTCATGGACTTACAGATTGCAGGAATTAAAAAGGAGGAGGAGACGCTTGCATGTGCTTTGCTATTTTCATTGACTTCAGGATATCATGATATTGAGAATTCAATGATGTATAACAAGGAGCCTATCAAGCTTGAGCAAGTGCGGCAGACACTTAACTCTAGTGATGTGCGGAGGCACATTGAAGGAGAGAGAGTTGACCAGGCAAGTGGGCTCTTTGTGAGAGGCCGGACTAGCCAACAAGGAAAGAGCAAATCAAA